TATTTCATTGTTTCTTATAGGAGAAATGGCTCTGCTTTGCATTGCATAGGCAATGTTTATGCTCTTATGGTCCCTATCCCCCCCATTTACCATTATTCTTATAGGGGAAATTCCCCGTTATACATCATTTTGTTATAAGTTGCAACATTCCGGTTCCTTACTCTAATGTATAATGAGGATCCCCTGTACAACTGGTAATAAACCTTTATTGTTGATCATTACTTTCAGCAAACATGTGAAACTCTTCTTTATCACCACCACTTTCACCAAATAAATCTTTAATATCAGCACATGAGATCATGTCATTGTAGATATTTTCTATATCATTATTCTCTCAAGGAAATATTTATAGGTCGAGTTACAGCAAACAAACAATTACTTAAGGCCAGTCTCAGGGCACTTTGACATAAAATGAAAGAAAAATGTTATAGATTTTGTACCCTATGTACAAGTCGGGAGTAGAATTTATTGAGCAAAACTCATGGTCTAAAAGTTTGACTTATGCATGAGTATGTATGGTATGTATAATAGAATTTCAACTACATTTATTTGTTGAATGCTTTTTCACAGTATCAGCATTTATTTTAAGTTTTATCTTTTAGCTTGTTATTAATTCAATTAAATTATATAATCAGTTATCTGTGAGCATCAATTACACTGACTTGAATCAAAATTATGATTAAACTTATTAATGTCACAAAAATAATAGACAAGAGTAATCAGAATATTGCCATATGTTTTCTTGTTATTATATTTGATTAATTCAAGGTTGTTGAACTTAGTAGATAGTGTCATGACTCATGAAATATTCAACTAATCAGAATTAGTTTCTGCTTATAATTATATTAATAAAATAACACAATATTATGTGTAGCAATTATTATAATTTCTAGTTCCTTTTATTTCAAGCCTTCTGATAGTTTGTTTTATTTACTGTCATTTTTCACTAACTTTTATCAGTTTTATTGTTTACATAACTAGCCACAATGATACCTGTTATTTGTGTTTGCTTTGTATATCTTAATATTACTATGATTTTAACTTGATATATTGGTTAATTATTACATGTCATGTCCTTTATATCTATTGTTGACAATGTGTTTTGCTCAATTGAGAGCTCATTAGGACAGCTGGGACACAATATACACAGTAGTGGTAGGAACACTATTTATATAAGCTATTTGTTACAACAATAATTGCTGTGGTGTGAATGCCTTTTCTAATCTGGTAAAACATGAATATAATTAATTATACTTGTCAAGATGTTAGTATTTGGCTTATTATTTTTTAGCACCACATTCTTTATTTAGTCTTAACGTGTTTCAAGAAAAAGAAAAATATATAATAATATTTCAACTACAATATGTCTACCTTTATCAAATATAATCATACTTTGCAGCTATGAAAAAGCATTCATGCTATAAAGATTATGCAACAAATGGCTCATTTAAGTAGTGTTCTGATGGCTACTTTGTCCGTTGTGTCCAAGCTAACCAGCTTCATGAGCTTTGTGTTGAGTGAAACACATCATTAGGAATGGATATGTCATACATAATGTTGTTGAAATACTATTATACACTCTTCTTCTTAACCCCTATCATCCGTGGAAGGTTTTTTTTTTCATTACCATAGCAACAAACAAACCAGGCATGAGGCACTTAAATGGCATGCGAGACATTTAGTGTAAATATGTGGGTGGAGATGATAAAAAGTTAAAAAAAACAACAAAGAGACTGAATACAGAATGCAATGTCAAAAATATAATAGGCATTATACCAAATATCTGATGACAAGTATAATTAATTATAATCATGCTTTGCCAGCTTAGAAAAGACTTTCACACCACAGTAATATTTAATACTGTTAAGTTGATAACTTATTTACATGAACATTACTCCAGTTTAATTGTAAGTAATTCAAGCTAAATAGGAAGCACTGAAAAGGGAACAAAAAGTCTGACTATCATAATGTGTTGCTTAAACACTGCCTTGGACAGTCAAGTTATTTGATGTATTGATTTCACAGCATGTACGTGTGTTTCTACACTTTCTTTCTGCTTGTACTGTAAAATGTAAACATATTAATCAGTTTAATGTTTCCTCTCAAAGCTTCCATATGTATCAACAACTTCTCACTTAAAAGCTAATGATATTTTTATACTTATAAAGTTATTGATAAGTTTTAACATTTCTTATAACACTTTGATTTCCATTTATGAATGATTTTGATCTCTGCATGGAGGTAATCTAGTGTCATATCAAGTTTCCTTGACAAATAATAAATTATTATTATTATTTTTTAATATTGCCATGAATTTGTTTTTACCGTATTATGTATCATCTATTGTATACTATGACAAGAATATTTACTAGTATTATCACTTTCAATCTAAGGACACTACGTCTGCATATGATCTTCTTGTAATGCTTTTGAACAAGCAAGAAGTGAGGAAAGTATAACACAAGTTTTGATACAAGATGAAAAAATCCCTATAACTCAAGCACTTTCAAAAGGTGGACATTTCTTCTTCAGGGGCAAACTGGGCATTAAGGTCATCTGGTTTTCCATGAAATGTTTAGTATATTTTTGTATGTACTGTTGTAAGTACAATGTAGCTGGCGATGAGGGTATTAGGGATATTTTGCTTTAGAAGTGGCTATATATAAAACTGTACTTAAGTGTTTAAGTAAAATAAAGTTGATACCTGGAGACTGATTGAAAAAGAGATGTTCAATTAATCAATTTATACAAACAGGTATGAAAATGTATCTTAAATAAATAGTAAGTTTTAGGAAAGTTAGGGTTCACACTACATGAAAGAAGTAAGGAAAGAATAAAAATGATTTTTCTGACAGAGATGAAATCAGTAATCGGAGATCACTGATTTCAGGATCTAGGTTAAATCTAAAAGGTTGAACAGTGTTTATATCTGCGATTCAATAAGCTTCTTTTATTTCTTTATCTCTTTAGTTTTGAATCCTGCTTCAATACCAATGAGAGTAACATCATTAATGGAATGACTGGGTTGGTTAAAGTGTTGAGCAACAGGGGGATCTTTTTCGGTGTTAAAAGAAGATTTATGGTTGTTGGAATGTTCTGTAGTTTTGTATGTTCCTGTGATAGAGTAACTGACAAGGTTACCTACCTAACCTGTAATATAGTTTCATATCTTCCTGTGATATAGTAACTGACAGGGTTACCCACCTATCTTGTAACATAGTTTTATGTGTTCTTGTCAGATAGTAACCAACAAGGTTACCCACTTACCTTGTAATATAGTTTTATATGTTCTTGTGATAGAGTAACCGACAGTGTTATCCACCCTAAACCGTAACAGTTTTGTTTCTTCTTGTCAGAGAGTAACAGACAGGATTACCCATGTACATTGTAACATAGTTTTGTACGTTCTTGTCAGAATGAAACCAACAGGGTTACCCACCTACATTGTAACATAGTTTTATGTGTTCTTGTCAGATAGTAACCAACAAGGTTACCCACTTACCTTGTAATATAGTTTTATATGTTCTTGTGATAGAGTAACTGACAGTGTTATCCACCCTAAACCGTAACAGTTTTGTTTCTTCTTGTCAGAGAGTAACAGACAGGGTTACCCATGTACATTGTAACATAGTTTTGTACGTTCTTGTCAGAATGAAACCAACAGGGTTACCCACCTACATTGTAACATAGTTTTGTACGTTCTTGTCAGAATGAAACCAACAGGGTTACCCACCTACATTGTAACATAGTTTTGTACGTTCTTGTCAGAATGAAACCAACAGGATTACCCACCTATTTTGTGATATAGCTGATTTAATTTTTTTATGGCTTGCTAGTGATTTTTCTATTCGATACACAAAACTTCATATTGAACATATGTAAAATAATTATTAATTAGGTTTTCATTGAGAAGAGAAAAAAAAAGAATGTATGGGAATTGTATAAGAAAAAGCTTATTTTAATGTATAACTTCTGAATTAAAAGTGATAATACAATAAAGATATGGCATAATGGAAATTAAACTTTTATTATTCATCCTCATGAAGAGAACAAGTAAACATTGTGATTTTTATGTTTATGGCTAAAGGAATATGCATCCAATATCTAATTTACAGTTATGTGCCAGACATGTTTATAGAATATGTCATAATCCATTCCCATGTTATTTTAGTATAAAATAACTTCTGCTGGACCTCTACCAACAAGCCTGTATTTTTGTAGCATTACATTTAAATGCAAATTTATTAAAGCATAGCTTTCAGTTTTCATTAGATTTTGACTAGTTTGTCTGTTCTAAATTTTGAATATTTTAATTGTTTAATTTATGCTACTTAGAATAATTTATTCTGTATGCTATTTTTTGCTAGGTAACAGTTATGCAAATTTTTGACATTAGGTAGTTTTTCAGTGAGTTAGTAACAAGTTAAACACCAATAAATGCAATAGAAGGTATTACTGTGCAATTAACTGCTAATTGGTGAGAGAGTTTTTATAAGTATCATTTTATTTGCTTTCTTGAATTTGACAGTATGCTGCTATAGTTCAGACATAAGTACTGTTTTAAACTTCTATGTTTATGTGTCAATGCAGTGTATATATATATATATCATTTTATGTGTGTGTACATGTATAAAAAATTATTTTTTGGATAAATATCATTAACTGGGAAACTGCAAATCATACATACTGTATATTGTGAAAAGTACAAGCACAAGTTCAGTCATATGTATCATTTATCATAAATAAGCTTGGGTAAAATAAAATAATATGAATTTTCTTTATTTTTAGTATGAAAGTGAGGAACTTACAACAATTCTGAGCCAAATATTTTTTTCATACGTTGTTATGATTAAAGTATGTTTAGAATATTAATATGGTTTAGTGATATTTTTTTATTTTATTGAAAAAGTTCTATAGTTGTTGATAGCAAAGATTTTATTTTGTTTCTTGTTTATTTTTACTGGCGATATACTAATACTGTTTCAGTCTTTCTCCACTAGTCTAAAGGCTCAACAACCAAGCAACAGAAGCTAGGAAAACAAGGAAGTTCACAAGGCAGTGTAGACAGCTGTTCCAGTCTGTCAAGAGGTAAGAAGTTTGCTCTACTTCTTTTACATCCACTTTATAAATTTTGTTTAAACTATTAACTGAAAGAATAAAAACTAAGCACATGTTTAGCAATATCTGAAATTTATTTAGTTTGATGGTATGCAATATTAAGATTGGTATTTATTTTTATGAATCTGTACTAGAATGCTTTTTTTTTACTGTGTATATTTTATATTCACATCTTTTGAAATGTAGAAATGTTTTTATTAGATGTAGAATACAATTCAGACTTAAAAATTCAAAATATATAAAAAATGCATGGTTTCAAAAGGTAGTTAATTCCCATGAAAAGAAACCTGACAATTGGAGCATTTTCAGAAGGTAGATATTCTTTCTTCAAGGTTGAAGTTTTCTATATTTAATTTATCCCAAAAGCAGAAAAATCTTTCTCCCTAAGCACTTAGGTTACCATTGAAAATTGGTCATTACGAGGTTCTCATATTTGTAGCTGGGAGACATCATTAGTTAGCGAATGTAAGAGAACCTCTTCAAAAGAGAAAACATTATTGATGACAGTAGCATTTATTTAATTTAACTGAAATTAAGTCCTATAAGCTGTGAGTTGTATATGTTATATATAATGTAAACATGCTGAAGATTGTTTTATATTTTATTTTTATGTTTTTTATAACTACATTAATATGACTGTAGACATATTAAAAAAAACAACATCTAATTGTGTGATTGAAGGATACATGATTAATTCTCAGGATCAAGAAAGTTCCAGTGGTGCATCTCTTAAACAGAGTCTAGGATAATGTAGACATATTAAAAAAAACAACATCTAATTGTGTAATTGAAGGATGCATGATTAATTCTCAGGATCAAGAAAGTTCCAGTGGTGCATCTCTCAAACAGAGTTTATGATAATGTGAATTAATTTTGTTACTGTGGTAACCCTTGTGCATAATCAACAACAAATGAAAATTAAACAATTTATCTGATTAACAAAACACCTCTTCCCAACAACAAAAAAAAATATAATCTCAAACTAAGTTTACAATTATTTATTCGAATTGACTGTAAACTGTTAAAACACTAAGTAGTCACTGTTTGTGTATGTATTGCCACAAATAGTTATTAGTCAAGCGGTGAAGATTTGATTTTGCACTTTTCTACTCAGTTATAATCATCTATTAAACTCATCATCATTAGCTTGTAGCTACTCCATACCAGGAGATTAGCTGTCAGTGCTTGCCATGCCCGTTTGTGATTATACCTTCCTCACGCAATCGCTGTGGCTGTACTGCAACCACTCTGACATCTGTGTACCATTTTCTCCATGATTAACCTTCATTTCTACAGCCTTCCACTTTGCCATCTATCAAAGTTCATTGAATCTTATTTGTTATGATAATGTGTCCAAAATACTGACACTTTATTTTTTGGATGTCTGCTTTTAGTGTATGCTTTATTTTGGTCATTTTCAATATTTCTTCATTTGATTTATACTCTGTATATGATATTTTCAACATTCTTCTAAGCATCCACATTTCCAAGGCTTCTATTTTGTTACAGAGTTCTTCGGTAGTGTTCAAGTCTGCAGAATACAGAAAAAAGGATAGTATATAACATTTTATAAGTTTCTTCTCTGTCTCTAACCTAATGTTTCTTGTAGTTAATACATCTTTCATACGGATGAAATTTGTTCTTGCAATTTCTGTCCATCTGTTGACTTCTGTCTCACATTTATCATCTTCAATTATTAGTTGCCCCAAGTAGACAAACTTGTCCACTTGTTCTATTATGTGACCATCCACTTTGATGCTAACTCTAACTTTTTGTTTTACATTTCTCCTCACAACCACGGTTTTGTATTTTTTATCTTCATGCTCAACTCGTACTCTAAACTTCTCTTACTCACTAAATTCATTATTCATTATAATGATTCCTCTGACTCTCCCAGCAGCACTGTATCGTCGGTGTACCTCAGTGCCACTATATTAACTCCTCCAATTCTTATTCCTGGGAGCTCATCTATCTTTAAACATCTGTTCTGTGTAAAGGTTGAATAGCTTTGGCAAAAGTATGCAACTTTGTCTTACACCATGCTTAACACTAAAGGTATCTGGCTGACCTTCTAGATGAATACTTGCTTTTTGCTCCTAGTACAGGTTCTGGATAAATCTAGCATCTCTACTGTCTATGCCACACTTGGTTAACACATCTATTATCTTTTGATGGTACACCCTATCAAAAGCCTTCTCAAAGTTGATGAAGCATATATATGTGTGTGCTCTTGCTCACTTCCAGGTATTTATCAAAGATCAATCCTAGATTTAATATTCCTTCTCTTGTACCCGTACGTGGCTTAGTATCGTTTATCTCTGCCTTTAAAATGTCTCTTATTTCTCTCTATCATGATTTTCAGCATTACTTTCATGAGATGACTCATCAAGCTTATGATGATGTATTGACTACATTCCATTGCCTTTTGCTTTTTGGTAACTTTATTAATAAAAAGTATCTTAAATCACTAGGTGTGTAACCAGATCTGTAAATTTTGTCACAATATTTATCTCTGACTCTTTCAGGGCCTTCAGCTGTTCTGTTGTTACTTCATCAATACCTGGTTCTTTCCCTGTTTTCATCATTTTTAGTGCATAAAATACTATCTCCTTCATAATGCTTGGGCCAGTGTCTCCCTCTATCACTCTGGATTCTCCATGATTAGGGTAATAATCATACAAGTCACTTATTAAACTACACAAGATATATTTAGTCATGAAGATAAAGCTCTTAAAAAACAAACTATAAACCATACACTCAAACAAGACCAATATACACATGTGGGAATGCTCTGAACTTAAAATCTAATTTATAGGGAAAGTTGCATTCCTTCAGCAAATTGATGGTATGCAGCTTGCTCATTCTAAATTTATGCTTTTAGAAAAATACATTTTTGTTCTATATATTCATTGTGTTTACTTAGATTCCAGCACAGAGACATACACAGATTCTACTGGTATTGACCTGCAACAGTTTATTACCAACACCTTACACAAGAATCAAAAAGATCGTATGATGTTACTTAGGATTGAGCAGGATGTAACAACCCTGATAAAAGATAACAAGTAAGTTTCATAATAAAAAGAAGAGTGTTAAAACGTTAGTATTTTATCACTGTAGAATCATTCACTGTTTTTTAAAGATATCTTAATAGCAGAACTTGAACTTTAGTTTAAAGGTTCACTTCTACAGAAATTATACAGTGACATTTGCAGAATAATAAAATAATCTCATTAATAAAAATGAAGTGAAATATTATGGAAAAGAACAAAATTATTAATTTACAGTTATGTAATTGATACTGCATGTTTCAGAAAAAAACAGGAGATTCAAGTCACTATCAGCTACAAATGTTTTTTAGGAAATAAAAAATGTGGAAATTTTGATATCAAATCTGTTTTGCGTTAAACATTTGATGAACCAGAAAATAACTATACGTGTTTATACAGTGTTGCCTTTTATTCATTTCTAGAATTTTTCAAAGAGTTCCCTTTTTTTAATTAATATCCAGCTGTATAAAAAGTTTTTCAAGATTTTGATTGAATCAGTAGATAAGTGCTGTGTGTTGGACACTGTTATTTACCCAGTGACCTGTGATGGATTGTTGAGCAACAAAATGATGTATGATACATTGTTGATATCAGTTATATTTATGCATGCAATTTCAAGAGTTTTCATAACTTTATCATTATACAGTCACTGTAATTTGAGGATTTTTTTTTCTCTCTGACTGAACTTTTAAGTAGTACCAACAAATGGTACAAATATAGCACTTATTGTCTTATGCTTTGGTTCCTCTAATTTTGTTAGTTTCAGAATTCATATACTAAGAGCTCAGTTCATATGGTTCAGTTATATTAAAATTGGGCTGAGCATGGCCTAGTGGTTAGTGCATCTGGACTGTGGATCTAAGGGTTCAGGGTTCACATACCATTGCTGCAAAAATACATTCCACATTTTGGGTTCATGGCTACACTATAAGATAATGGTCAAATCCCACTGTTTGGTCAGATAAGAGTAGCCCAAGAATTGGTGGAGGGTGCTGTTGACTAGTTGCATTCCCTCTAGTGTATCACTTCAAAATTAGGCATGACCATGCACAGATATCTCTTGTTTAGCTTTGGGCAAAAAATTATTAAAAAACAAACAAATGTATTAATTGTTCAATCTCCAGACTGGTGTGGCCATTTTAAGGGCAATATTGCACCGTTGAATTAAAAAAAAACTATAGAAAATAAACTTGTAGTTGTTTTTAACACATTAAGAATTGAACGACTTTAGACTTAAAATTTATTCAGTAGAAGAATTTTATTTATTTAATTTTATAAAATAAAAAATCCCAACTTTTGATTTTGGGTTGACTTCAGCAAGTTCCTAATGAAATTGTTAGTGTTTGTAAATTTTTTGGATTTTTTTTCTGAGCACAAATATGGTTTTCATAGCCTTCTAGGTGGAAAGCCATAATAGTTTTGAGCAAAATAATAATAATTTATTTTTGTAACTTGAATACAAATGATATTTTTATTAATTTTTAACCAATCGCTGTTTCTCAACCTCACTTGTTATGGTGTGAAATAAATTGCCTGTATCTCTGCTTCAAAAAGCCATAGTCTACTCATCTAAGCGCATCATGAAATCTCTTTATTTTGTTAATGTTCATTTAAACTGTAAAAGTATTAATGCTTCCAGTGCAGCAGCAATTAGCATATATGTTGGAACAAAGTAATAAAAGCTTAGTTTGGTGATATGTTGCTAGAAGAAAATTTGCCTGTGAACACAACTTCTGCCTCAATTACAGTCCTAAATTGTTTTTAAACTTGCTTTATAATTTTATACTTCATTTGAATTATAATTGTTGAAGTATGATAGGAAAATAAATGTTCTTTTGGAGCAAGATGAGGTGGACTTAGGCAAATCATTTTGTGCTTGACTACCAAGTTTTGTTTTGTTGACAAGGCTGCTGTGTTAACCCTTATTTACATTAGGCTTTAATGGCCTAAGTTACTGCTTGAATGGGCAAAGAAAATCACCAAAAAGAATATATATATAACAAATATATATAAATGAGTATCAAATGGGTTTAAACTTATCATTTATGTTAAATGAAACCTTCTGATTAACCCTATGTATTGGATGGATAATTAATGTTTACTATAATATTGAATTTACTCTGCGTATCTTCACAGAATTTAGTGAGTTTTAATAAATGCAAAAATTTTGTTGTACAAAAAAAACAGAAAGTTGATTTTTTTAACAAAGTATTTTTAGTAAAGAATTGTCTATGAATTTATGAAGTCAGTCTGATTCAGATTCTAATTAGTCTGAATGCAAGGTGATTTTTATGTTAAGAATAAAAATAATTTTTTTTACCTTATAATTTTCATATTTGATTTTCAAAACCCCCTAGAACCTTCTAAGTGAATATCAAAATATTTTTTTTAGTAAAACTTTAAACTTATTTTCTTATTTTCTCTACTCTATCACTAACTATTTCCTTATTAGTAATATTACGTTTACTAGAATCTTTTATATCTATCATTTGTCTCTCAAATCTGTTAGAGTTTTGTCAGTTCTTCTTGGTTTAAGCTTTTCCTTTTGGGAATATATTTCACAAAACAGTGTAACCAATTTACATAGGTGGATATTAATTCTCAATAGTTTACATGAACACTACCGGGAAAAGTTGGTGTAAGTTCTTTTAATATCTAACATTAAATCATGTCTTCATTTTTCTTCAATATTCCATTGTTTTATGAAATAAAAATATCACTTACTTCTAATGGAACATATGATTTCTTTTATTACTAAATGAACTGTTATGGGAGTATTTGGAAAACTTGAAATTTATGGTAATCTACAATAACATGCTTTCCAATTAATGTAATACACATATTTGTGGAATCTGTTTCTTGAAGTATCAGAACATATTGAAATTTTCACTTCTTCTGTCATGAAATGATATTTGTGGTTCTTGTTTCAGGCAAAAATTGATATGATAAAACTATTAGAAACAAACTGTATTTATAGGTAGATACACATACATACATATATGAAGCTTAACTGAATTAATAACATATAACAACGAGTTGTAAATCAATAATGGTAACATACTTAGAAATAAAAGGCTAAATATTACTTGTAGGTAAGTACAACTAACATTTGATATTTTGAAAGTTTCTCTTTTTGTTTTTTTTAGAACATATCATAGTATGAGACATAGTTTGGAAACATTTATATGTGTGTGTGTGTGTGTGTGTGTATAAATGTATTTATTCATTTATTATAAAACTTTATATTATGGCAATGTTAGAGAAGTTTTATGAGAAGACAAATTATATATTTGTTATTACCATACACTGATTTTTTAGGCGCCAGTCTCACAAATTTCCACAGATGAGCTCCTATCATCGTATGCTTGTCCACAGAGTTGCAGCATTCTTCGGTCTCGATCATAATGTAGATCAAAATGGAACTGCTGTTATTGTTAATAAAACCAAAAACACAAGAATGTAAGAATAGAATTATTTCTTATAAACTCTGTAGACTTGTAGCTGTTTATGTTTAAGTAGGTTTTAAAAGAAAATTGCATGCACTTTGGTGATCACGGAATGGTGTATAAGGTTTTTAGTATGTTTTCCAAGAAGATCTTTTGCATGTAGTTCATTCACTACATATTCAACTTTATTGTGTTGGAGTTCATTTTGTATTATTCATTTTCAACCATATAAGAGGAGAGGAGCTAAATATACTATAACTTTGAATTTACTTGATATATCTTCGTGAAATTTAGCAAGGTTTTTAGAAAAAACATTAACTGTCAGTTGAACACAAAAACATCAGATTTTTTTAATAAAGTATTTCTACTAAACATTTGTTTGTAAATTTCCAAAGCCTTTATTGAGTTAGTCTGAGTGAAAGGGGAAACTTCATGCTAATAATAATAATAATTTTATTCATTGTGGTTTCTTATTTCATTTGCATAACCTCTAGAACCTTCGAAATGGATATCAAGTTTTTTATTTTTTGACAAAGTTTTATGTTGTTTCTCCTATTTTCTCTATCCCAATATTAACAGCATAGCTGTTTCTTGGGTCTGTAGAAAAATAATCAATGTACAGTTGAAAAATATGAAATAAGATTAGTAATACCATTACTTTCTCAGGACTTACTACATAAATGATCAGAAAGCTTATGTCCTCAAAGCAGGAGCCATTAGCTGTTTATTTAGATGTTTTATTTTATTCACATTTTGTTAGGCTACACTTAGAAGTTTTTAATTTTTACATTTTGCATACTTTTGTTAAAACAAATGTATAATAGTATATAAAAAATATACTTAAAGTAACCAGGATTTTTAGTACTTGATGGCATTCTTTCCTGAGCTTCAGTGAGTCTCAAAAATATGGATATCCTGAAAATATACATGTAGTTTTCAAATATGCATTTTATAACAAAAAATATCAGTGATTAGAGTAGAATCTCCAAAAATTACTATCTGGCTTTCTAAGTGAGCTATAAATAGGTTAAAAAATTCTATTGGACATTTGGAGTAGCAGTACTAGCAATCAAACCAAGAAATTCATATTGAATAACTACTTTCCCCATTGAAACTGTAAGCTTCGTGTAGAGAAAAACCTGCTCTTTTTGTTGGTTTTAAATATGTTCATTATAATTTTGTTGTTTTTCAGCTTTTATGCAACAGAGATAAACTACTGTGTAGTTCAATTTTTAATTAGGCTGATCACAACCTTGTGGTTAGCATGCTCAGATGTGAATTTGAGAGTTCATGGTTCACAGCTCATTGCTTGAAAAATGCACTTCACTTTGCACTTTTGAGATGTGGCTATGCTATAAGAGTGACAGTCACATCCCTCTATTCAGTCATTCAGAATTGATGGTGAGAAGTAGCCTCTGTGTATGTTTGTATAAATATTCTGAAACAGAACAAACAAATCAACATTTCTAGCTGCAGATAAATTCTTGCATTGTTAATTTTAAACTATCTTATAGCAGTATAAATAACAAATTATAGTATATAGTTTTGATATCTAATTGCAGTATATTTTTGTACTGTTAATTTTCAGCTTTTGTGTAACAATATATGTAACGAATTATACCGTATAATTATTCATTTTAAACACAGAGTGTTTTGATTACAAGTTTTTTATTCTTCAGTGTATAATAGCTAAAGTAAGTGCAAGTTAATGTGGTGATTTTAGGATAATATGTGGTGTTATATAGAGCATGAAAGGTGTAAAACTTTATATATCTCTCAATTTCCTAAGTTAAAACTTTATACTACTAAAATTTTTATGATATTATCATTATAAAGAAATAATTTCAGAAATTCGTATTTTCATCCTTGAAAACATATGCATAGCTTTACTGTTATTAAATTGTAAATTTTTCAAACAAGCATACGTTTTGTGAAATTATATATATATATATTCCAGTTTGTTCTAAGTGTGTCAAAACTAGAATAGTGTGCAAAACAGTTTGATTTTTCAGTGTTCAGATGCTATTTCACATTATGAACTAATTGTAGCTATAAATGTACAAGGTGTCACAATTATTCTAATTTTTTAAGGGTGAAATCATGATGTATGTAAAATCACAAATATATTTATTTTTGTAGTTATAAAATGTCAGAGTTGTGTATCATTAAATCTGTAACAATATTTCAGAAAGAAAGTGATTTGTGATTGTTCTTATTTTAGACCAGAAACTAAATTTCAAGATCATATACGGGATGAGCTCATACCCTTAGAACCAAAGAAGTCTATTCTAAAGCGAGACAGTGCCTCTTTTGAAGAAGGAAAGGAGGTAGGGACATTTTACATTGTTTCTTGACTTGTAGGTTTCTTACTAACAGAAGACAGAATGTACATTTGAAATACAATTTGAAATATAAAATATAATAGCTAGACGTAGAAATAAGTGTTAAATGAAAAAATAAAATATAGCTTTCTAAAAATAAAGTTAAAATAACTACAGAAACATAGAGCAAACAAAATGAAGTACGTATAGCACAATACTATAAACTGTTGATGGAAATAATATCCTTTTTCAGCTAATTTTTGGACCATTGTTCTCAACTCTCCATATATAGGGTACTAGTATAGCAAACACTAAACAAAGATCATCAAAAAGTGTAGTCTTGACAATTATGTTTAGGTTTCTTTGTTGATTTTATAAGATTTCTATTCTATTTAGTATTATTATTATTATTGTTACGCCTCCGTTCATTAGTTAGTTAATTTTCCGTAAAAACTCTTTCCGAAGAACTTTAGCAATACAAGTCCTTTCTTAAGTAAAACTGGTTTATTCTTTCTGAATACAACTCTGCAATACACTTAATTTCCACATTCGCGCTATAACAAATGCTATAATTCACAACGAACATCTCGTGCTCGCTCAACAATACGTCTCTCTCTCTGTCCGAGGTTCAATTACCCATTGTTGCTGTCAAGTCTTGACCATCTTATATGTACAAGAATACTGAAATCTAGTGAACTCCCAAGACTTCATGAACG